CCTCAATAGTTTGAAATTATGTTTCACTAGACTTCCAAAACACCAAAGTTAACAGCCTGATTTTTTTATTTTTAATGTCCGAATTTTTATTATTTAAATTAAAATGTTAATTTTCTAATTTTTTTTAATTATAAAATAAAATTTAACAAATCAATTGCTAGGTAGAGTAAGTTTGGCAAACATATGATTTTCATGTAAATTTATCAAAAATATTGAGTTCGGTCTATCTAATCAAAACCTATTTAGAATAAAAATTATTGAAAACATTTCTTCATGACTTTATTGCCAACGAAAATATCAAAGAATTAAAATTTTTAACTTTTTTAAATTTCTTTCTTTACGGTCCAATTTGGGGAAAGATTTTGTTTCACACGAAATAAAACAAGAGGCGATTCGGAGGTGCCGTAGAGCCGATAAATGGAACTCCACAACAAACCAGATTTGTTTTGACCATTTTATCCGCAATGATTATGAAAGAGATCTTCGTAATGAATTATTGATTAATTGGGTTTGCCAGTGAGGAGGCAATTAAAGAAAAGATTAATTCTTGGGAATAATGAAAGTAAAGATAAAACGAAATGAAAGAAAAACGGGAAAGTAAAATCTTGAAAAGGAAACAGAAAAATAGGGTGGATGATTGTTTAAAAGTATATTCTAAAATTTCCATACATTTAGAGGTTAATGAGAGCAGCACAATTGAAAGCGAAAAACAGTGTCGTTGAAAATTTTAACCAAGAGCAAAAATATAATAAGGTTAAGATTTTAAAATTATAAAAAAAGAAAAGGCCGATATGTTTACACAAGTAAAGCAATTAAATGTTTATGAAAAAAAAATATTAGAGACTATTGAAACAAAATAAAGAACTAAAGTCAAAGAAAAATGTTTTTACTAAAAACCAAATGAACTTACTGATAATGAAAACAAAAAAAAAAACGTGTTGACTGGACATTTGAAGAAGCTGCATCTGCTTTTATCTTGTGATATTACAGCAAAAAGGCATATCTGTATGTCAAACAGCAATTATATTTTCCACTTCCTGGTTTGTCTTCTCTAAGACGATGGGCTAATAAATTAAATTTTACTAACGATTGTTAAAATCTCTCGTTAGCTAATGAACGCATAACTAAGATTAAAACTGGCAACGGGGCTTTTCCAAATGACGGGTGATTGTCAATAAAATTTTTATTAATGAAGTTTATTTGGTTGTATTTTTCAAAAATTAATTACAAATTAAGTAAAAAATAAAATAGAGGCTCAACCTTTACTGCTACGGTTGAAAAAAATAGGTAAGTTATTCTCACTCAATGTAATGCCAGGTATTTCAATAAATCTTGTGCTCAATGTAAGGAATTACTCTTAAGAATTAATATACCTACACAGTAAACAGCTTTAATTTTCAATATTTATACCTATATTTTCTTTAAACATTAAATTTAATACTCATATTTTAACAGACAAAAGTAAGGACAGTCGATTCAGAGAACAAAATGTTTTGCACATGAATGTAATTCTTTAAGATAAATAGAATGTCTTAAGTGAAGAAATTGTTCCAATAAGGCACTAAAATAGAGGAAAATACTCATTTTACTACGCTTTTAGTGCTCGATTAGAAATCTGTGAATTACCTATGTAACAATTAGTTTAAGGCAACAGTATTTAAATATATTTTGTCCCTTTTGTATAAACTAAAACTATTTTTCTTGTACTTACTTTACATTTTCTGTTCCCTTTGTCAGCATGGAAAAGCTGATTTTGGTAAGCTAAATCTCGCCCTTTCTACTGTGCATTATTTTTCCAAACATAAATACATAATTAAAAATATATTGCTACAAAGTAATGCCCATTAAAAAATAAAAATATATTGCTACGAGGCTGTAATATATGTTTTAAAGTTTTAATTGTCTGTTAAGTCTGTCTTTTTTTAACATTAGTGGTCCATACAACAATATTGTAATGTGAGCCATTTCGTCCCTCTACGTCTTATTTGGCTCTTGAGGCTCAACTTGTCCAATTATCATATATAATTAAACCCCTTAAGACCAAACATATGTGACGGCTATGTGACGGCTATGGCGAAGGCCCTTTCGATTACTATTTGAGAAAGAACGTGATAATGTTTCTAATTTTAGCGAGAATGTTCTGTAAATCACCAGAAATGTTAAATTTGTATATAAATATTGGTGGAGGAACATAGTGAAGTCAATTGGATAAAAACATTTGTGAAGATAAATAGTGAACAGTTTAAAGACATTAGAAATATATATTAATTAGAATAGTATTGTTTTAAAATAATTAAGTGTTTAAATAAATTATTAATAAATAATAAACTGTTGTTTAAAATAAACAAACATTACAATATTTTTCATTTTGTTGTGTTACAAAGTTTTTTTTCTTTAACTGTAGGGTTTTGCTTGAGCGTCTGTGTAGGGGGGCGGGGTGAGTCCACTGGGATCAGGCAAGGATTCAGTAGATTTCTTGGGAGTGGAGAGACTACTAGGAGAAGCAGCTATGGAGACTCTACTGAAAAAAGGCATAATATCATTTATTGATTCATGCACCTACAGAATATTATATAAATATATATTATTCTAGAGCTCTTAAAATTATGTTCCGAAATATAATGATATAACAAAATTTATAATTCGTAATTGAAGAGGTGATAACTCGAATTTACATAGGGATTATTCAGAACATATGAGGTGTATCACTCTTTCAACGTTGATATTTAGCTGCAGTTAATTAGCACTTCTGTAATTAGTTATTGCAATGTAAGAACCTTATTAGACCTACAGTTATATTTTACTAAAATATGTAAAAAATCCGTTCAATTCCAAATTTGTCTTGGTATTGCACTAAGTTTCCTCACAACATACAAAGTATTTGTCATAATTTTACAACATGGTTTAAATTTGACATGTTTATAACATATCACTAACAAAAAAAAAATAAATTAGCAGGGGATAAAGCAAATTTGATGTAGCACCTTTTTTAAAAAACTAAACATGGTACAATTCCTAACGTTTACTCAACCGATGCAGCCCAGGCGTGTTTTCTGAAAAAAGGAATTGTAACCACAGCCAGGGTTCTTTTTGACATTTTATGAAATAAAAATGAACTGACGAATAAGATATGGAAAATTAATGTGATAGCCTAAAAAAACTGATAAATATAAGAGACACAAAAGTTAGAAAAAAAGATAAGGTATGTTTAAGAATTTCTGTAAGCATTTTTCATACTGTACCTACCTATAAAAAAACATTAGTTGTTGTAAAATGCAGAAATTATTAAAACAACAGCTAAAATAAAACAATACGCAAGAGTAGAAATGATAAAGGATTGTATTCCTAGTATGTCGTGTTTAATCCGCCTTATAAAATAGTTTCGTATGTATGGGAAATTTGTTTTAATGTTACAGGTAATATAATAAAAAAAATATGGATGGTAAATGAATAAATATACAAATGAGCTTTTAATATAAATAAACCTAAATGTATACATAATATTTACTTCTGTCTACTAGTTTATCGTCAACTAGAAATGTGTGTGAAAGGAAAACTATATTTAAACGTAAAATATACAATAACTAGTAACTACAACGTAAAACCTTTAAGAAATCAACCAAGAGAAAATTTAAATGCGAATTATTTACTAATAATACATATTTTAATATAACATAAATTCATACGAATTTAATTTAAATTAACCTAAACGTATATTTAGGCACACTGTCTATAAATTATTTATCGCACACTAAAAATAGTCGTATGTTGTTAAATATATTTAAACGTAGAATAATTTATAATTATATATCATAGGACGAATAAAAAAGTATAATATCATTTAAAAAACGGTATGAATAATAATCTTAAACTGTAAACGTATACGGAATCAACCAATAACAAATTTTAATGAGAATTACGTATAAAATACGTTACATTATACTAATGTGTACTGCATGGGTAATAATGTATTTAGCCACCTATACTTACTTTCAGTAAATATTATTTCAAATACCGTTCTAGATTACATATACCTGTTATAGATACCTACCTTCTAGTTGGTAATGTTCTTGATAGATGTTAGGTACTTAGCCATTGTCTAGTACTTGCTTATCTATGATAAAAAAAATCAATTTATTAATTATACACCATTTGTCGACTCGTGATTTGTTTGTTACTTTGTTTTGTTAATGTTTTAGTTAATCCCAATATAGTTTTTGGTTCCTCCAACCTTTAGCAGACATCTCTATTTTGGTTTAGATTTTTAACTTTTAAAAATAAAAATAAAATATCTGCGACCTAATTTATTATATATATATGCAGTGACTTTTTAAACTTTTTATATTAAAATTACGTAGCGTATCCGTAATGGATACGTCAAGGTAAGTCACATTATTATTAACCTTCCTCTTTTGTTCTTTTTAAATTTTTTTGTCCAGTTTTCATTTGTAATAAATAATTTTCACCTTTCATTACATTGAATCCATGACTTTTCATTTAGGTGTGCCTGATGATAAAGTAATCACTTTCAAACCGGTCGTCAAAAAAATGACTTTGTGAGAAAAGAGGACCTTAATTTTCACCTTCATACTCAATCACAACCACTCACATTTGGCTACCTTCACCCCTATCTTACTGAATCTTTGGGGCCATAAAACACTAGCCTTAAAAAAATCTGAAAAATAACAGTAACATATGAACTCATTCTGACTATTCAAAATCAATATAAAAAGTGCGGAGTCCTTTAACTTAATTTAGTGGTTTGAGAGCTATAAGGCCTCGAAACCTGACAACTAACCAATCGACCAGCCCACATGTAGTTGCTTAACACGATGTCCACCCTTTTAGTCTAATGAAACTCTTAACAGATACTTTCTCTTCGCACACCTCATTTCAGCGGGCTCATCAGGCCTTAGTCGCGTCCGAAATTGACTCGTGATTAACCTTCTTGGTCGCCGCCGGCCTCTTCGTCCTGGGACGTATCCACAATTAACGGCCATTCAAGGAGGAGGCGGCGAATTTGGCAAAGAAGTCGGAGGAGCTTCCACATGCGCGCTATCGGCCACGACCACGCTTCGGATGGACGGTGTCTTCGGATCGCAGCATCCAGTATCCACGCGACGCGATTTTTGGTCGGGTGGGTGAAGTTTCGTGCGCGCGGAGAGGCGGTTATATACGTAAGGAGCACGTGCTTTTGTGGCGGATGAAGACGGTTTTTGATGTTCTTGTAAGTAGAATTCTAAATGAATTAGTGAAGTTTTTAAAGTTGGTGTTGATGAGTTAAAAAAAACATATTTCCTTTATTAAATTTTTTTTGTTAAAAAATACATATTTTTTTAATTCATCTGACTGTTTTGATCTTCAAAAATGCTGAAAAAATAAATTAAATATAAAACTTGGGTAAAGTGTTTCGGAGTTTCTGTAAGGTTTAAAAGTTTTCGTTATTTGTTATAATGTGTGGTTTCAAATCGATGAAAAATGGTAGACAAACAATATTGTGTAGTATAAATTGTTCATCGCTGCTTTTATAAAAATTAAAAAATGTTTTTCTAAATGTATAAGAAATAAGGTATATTTCCTCATTTAATAATTCTGAAAATACAAAGAATTTATTTCCTTATTAGAGCTTTATCTTTTAACAAAATATATAGTAGTAATTCCCGCAATAATTTAATAAATTTATATGTGCCATGAAATAACAAACATTAAATAATTATAGGCCAAAAAAAAGAAAACAGAAAAATAGAACGGTGTGATTATTAATAGCTCTGATAAAAAACATTTTATATTAGACAATAATATTTTAATTTTCAAAATATTGTGATCAAGAGATTTATAACATAGTTTTAAGTGTTTTATATAAACGGTAAGTAAAGTTTTATTACTCATTTTTGTTAAACTGAACAATATTTATCATATTTACCATCGACAACAAAATCCGCATCATCTGAAAAATTGTTGGTTACCTGTTTATCTTTGTGGCCTAGTTCAAGACAGACAGGAATATACTTAAAAATTAATACTTTTCAAAATGAGTCAACAAACAAGGGTCCCAAACCAATAGAAATTACTGTACTGCTCTGACTTAATAAAAATACCCTTCAACAAATTAAGCAATCATATTTTTTTACATTAAAGTAACGAAACTATAAGATTATCTTTTACCATAAGAATAAATCAGACATCCAATAAATATATTGTTTGTCTCAAAACTTTCAAATAATAGGATGTGCATTTATTTAGGATCACCAACGATCGTAGAAAAATTCATGAATGATCTTGGTGGCATAACAGAAATTATTATTATCGTTACGTTACTCCTGCAGACAGAATAATACTCTCCAATGTTTGCCCGACTATTCCTAATAAAATCCGAATTAGTGAATTAAAAAATATAGGACTTACATTACTTTCTCAAATGACTCTTTCAAAAAAAGCGCATCCTGACCTGAAGTTTATCACAAGATTTCGCAGGCAAATATTTATCTCTCCAACATAAACAGCAATCCCACAATCAATCATAATAACTCATGATAATACTTTCTATGGAATTTTCTTATCAAGAGACAATCCCACATGCTGTAAATGCAAACAAACAGGTCACCTAGCAGCTAATTTTCAAACTCATAAATCACCCGACCCATATGATATACCATCAACAATCTTCATAGCTACTCATATAACTAATATAACTCATGCAACAGCCTTACCATCATATATACCATCAACTCTTCCGATAACCACTCCCGTTCCGCCAAACCAGTCTCATCAGATACATCTACCGCGACAGTATTATTTACATAAGAATCACTAAATCCTTTAATTATATCAATGGAAGATAATCAATCAGATGAAGGGACAGAACGAAATTTGTAGAAAACTTTATCTCCTCTAACTCCTTCTAAAGAAAACACTATTTATTTCCCAAAACCAAAGGCATCTAACTCAGCATCTAGTAACTACAAAAAAAAGTCAACATATATTGAAGAAATCTTCGGTGAATACAACTACTCTTAATGGAATTATTAAACAACACACTCCCCATTTTGTATTAGATTACAATCAACAAATAGGAAAACATCATAGGTTCAACAGATCCACTAAGAGTAACAAACAACTATACAGAAGACCAATTAGCATTAATTGACATGCTGAAAAAAATATATCCGTATTTACCAAAAAGAAATCTAAAAGATAGTACAAGACTAAGAAAAGTATTGATAAAACATCTAACACACAATAGCTATTTTTTTACGATCACTATTCAAAGTAGGGTTTTGGGCTTCAAAATACAACCGCAAAGTTGACGTTTTCCGCGAACTGACATTAAGTAACAGCTTTGTCTCTCGCCGAGCAGAAAACTTGACAGCTTTGTTGCTCGCCTAATTTAAATTAGATATAATTTAATAATATTTCTTATTAATAAATGATTTTCAAGTTGTATTTCGAAGCGAAAAAGCCTACTTTGGATAATGATCGTAGAAAAATAGCTAATTTCCACCCGAATGTAACTTGTATGCTGCTGAATTGCATGCGTTGTATCACGCAATTGCATTAATTAATATCTCAAACTTACTTACTTCAAGAATTGGAAAATAAAAAAGATATTTTTATATGGATTCCTTCACATATCATAATTTCTTAAAATGATGAATTTGATAAATGTGCGTGCGGAGTAATAAGTGCCTAAGACTCTACGTATTTTAGACCTTTTATTCAGTGATGCATAAAGTCTAATAAAATTATAATTGCAAAGTGCGCGGCAAAAGCTTTGCAACAACTCTACATCTAAGCTGAGAACAGTAAAACAAGTAAATTTTTGGCAAGTATTACCCAAAATGTCAACTCTGTGACGTAAAGCAAACGGTAGAACATTTCATAATCAATTGCCCAAAATTTTTATAATGCTTCTTCTCCACGTTGGATCAAACCCTAGGTGCCAAATGCTCTTTTAAAAATATACTAGCATATGTTAGAGCAATTAATATTGTAAACCATGTGTAATGTCTTTTCTTTTAAAAAAGTAATTGCTTTTCGCTAATGACCCTATAGGGTTGATGCGAAGATAGAAACAAAAACAATGTACTTAAAGTTTCACAATGATATGTATTTACTAAAGTGGCCACACTAAAATAGATTTATGGAAAACCAGTAAACTAATAATATATTAATCATCTCCATTTTGTTTAAACCCCACGAAAGTACACTATTGTGGTAAAAGAAAATTAAAAGAAACAAATTGATATAAACAGAAAATCCTTAAAAATCACAACAATTATACTCGTATATACAAGAAAAATAACTTATCCTACAAACAAAATAGTTCAAGAATCTGGGAAATTAGTTATTACTTTGTAAAAACGTACATTTAACTACAAAACAGTGATTAAAAAATTATATGTATCAACACAACACCCGTTATAAACAAATCAAACAACTACTGTTGTCAAATAGAGCTTAAAAGAAAATAGAACAACGATCATCTGATTTTATAGCACCTAGAAATATTTCACAAGGTGTTGTATATTCGACCACAGAGAACACTTGTTAGTTGATGAATTTTGATATAGAGTGTTAAACGTTTTAAATCGAAATTCAAAATTTTCCATAAATCGAAAACTCATTCAAATATTTTTTTTCAAATTTGATCTACCAAGATATTGTCAAATGCACGAACTATTCAATATTTGACAAGTGCTTACTAGATTAGAATTTAGAAATATTGAGTCGTTACAAATTATCTAAGTACATGCAAACTTTTGTTTAGAAGCAAATTTCTGCAACGCCGTTCATTGTAGGTCCATAAAAATGTTACTTTTTTTAACTAAAAATTAACAGAAATAAAAAATATAATAATAAAATAAAAAAAAATGTTTATTCCAGGGCGCAAACAATAGGGGGGAAATCGCCACTAACTTTGATAGCTGGCTACCGGTTAAATTTTTCAGAAGTTAGTTTATGTTAAAATTTTACTTTCTTAAAGAGCACCAAATTTGAAAAAAATGTTTAAATGCATTTTCGATTTATAGAAATTTTTGAGTTTTGATCTCAAACTTTTAACACCCTGTATCTGGTAACTATAATCATTAAGGGTCCATATTTTGATGTCCAATTTTATCAATTAACTAGAGCCCTCTGGGGTAGAGCATTATCGGTCAAAAATACTAACACCCTGTATAACAGTAAACAATAAATTATTAAAATGTTGGATACCATGTCTAGATGTCAACCTAATTATCAGAAAGGTCACAAGTTGTTTACAATGAAAATAATGCAAGTACAAAGCGAATTAATAAAAGGGTGTCCTGCAAGGATCTGTGTCGGGCTCTATCCTTTTGTATACTTTATACAAATGATTATTCAAATGCTTTTAACAATCCTTAAATAATAACAGTTATGTAGGGATCTTGATGATGCCATGTTTGAAATTTGCTTAAAGAAGGTCCTGATACAGCTATTTGCAGAAATTACAAATAAAGCCATGAAGTAATTGGTTCTAAATCAGCTCGTACTGAATGAAACCAAATCAAAATCTATCTTATTTACTATTACCCATTTTATTAATAACAATTATTAGCACAGGATCCGTAAGTAAGGTTGTCCTTTACCTATCTGTTTAATAGATGAAAGTTTATTTAATTTAAATAAAATATGCTAGTACATATACCGCAAATGGGTTGCCTAAGAAAATACGGTCTCGGCAATTTTTTACTTTCCATTCTGTATACAGACAAGGAAAGTATAGGAATCATAATAAAAGTTTCTTGTGATGTCATTCTCTATAATTTTGTTCCTATACGTGATTTGCCTAAAATGGAGCTAATTTGAGATATTTGAGGAAAAGTGCAAATTTCGAATTTTGAAGAGAACTCAAAAACGGATTAAGAGAAAAACGCAAAATTTTAAACGTAAGCTTTAATACATCCTGCGGTGAGCCGATTAAAGTTTGAGCATAGTCAAAGCATCTGGGTAATTATTTACGGGGTGTCGTTTTTTTACTTTAAGAAAATAAATAGCCATGACCGTATTTTCTTAGGCAATCCATTTGCGATATATTTATAAACATATTTTATTTAATAAAAAGAAACTCTTATGCGTTAAACAGATGGGTGAAGATCGACCTTACTTCGGATCTTAGACCAAAACAATATCCCAAGTTCTTAGCTGTAAATACAGATACCAAGTTTCTTTGGATTGAACATACATATATAAATCATCTTTGTTCCAGGTTTAATTTAG